CCAGGAGCTCGGAGAGGACGCTGGTCCCTGGTGGGCGGCGCAGCAGAGGTCCCCTGGAGACTGACCGGTAAGCGGGGAGCCCTGCCACGTGGCGCCCTTAGCCCGAGACCTTCAAAGTCCAGCGTGAGAGACGCCAGACGCCCTCACTCTGAGGGGCCCAAACCCCCTCAGCATCGAGGGGCCCATGTCCGCCAACCCGGAGGACCCACATCTCCTGACCCCAACGCCTGGACCCCCAAACATCCCGAAAACCCCAGTTCCCCTCGGCTCGGGGCCCCCAACCTGCAGCTCGCCCGGAAAGACCGAATCTCCCCAAACTCAGAGACGCCAAATGCTGTCGTCCTGGAAACCGACTCAGTGGTGGGGACCCTGAAGCCCCTCGATGAGACGCCCCAAATCTCCTCAGCCGCAGGGTCTGACCCTCCCCCCGGCCTCAGTGTCCTCAGCCGGGAAGACGCAGGATCGGGTCTCAGGGACCCCGAGCCTGTCAGCCTGAGAGACGGCGGTCTGCCGGGGACGCGCCTGCGTCTCTTGCGGGCCTCTCCGGACCCCCGGGTGCACCTCCGAGCCCTTCCCCGGGAAAAGCGCGTTTCCTGCGCCGCCACAGGCCCCCCGGGCCTGTTGAGCCAGAGCGGTGGCAGCTCATTGAGGGAAGGGCGGGAACAAAGGCCCCGCCCATCCAGGTCCGCGGTCCCCACTCCGGGCGCCCCGCCCGAAGGGGAAAGGTCGGTACCAGAACGAGAAGAGGAACTTCCACGTGCTCACCAGCCTCGGTAGCGCGCAGGCGCTGGGCCCTGGGGCCTGGTGAACCGGCCAGGCCGCTGTCCCCAGCTCAGGCTCAGGCGGCTCCATCCGCCTGCAGCTCCCTCCTGCGTGGACACCCATCAGGGGGCATTTGCTCCTTCGGTCACAGCAGGGCTGGCGCTGATGGTGCAGCGCTCACAGCAACTCGTTTTACTCTCCCATCCCAACCGAGCCAGTCCCACGGGCTTCCCGGTGCTTTTTGCTCCTCCAGGCTCTTTGCTTTCAGGACAAAGGTTTTGTCTCTTTTCAGGTCTCAGAGCCCTGCGACCAGCTTTCCTGTGTCACCACCCCAGGCAGGCCACCAAGCTCCAGGAGGAGGACCCTGAGGACTCTGGATGAAGAATGGGCTCCAAGGCAGCCAGGTGAGGGGCAGGAGGAGCCTGAGCTGCCCTCCTGGCACGAACCTGGTTTAGGTCAGGCTGCATCTCAGGACATAACCAGGCACCAGGGTTTGCTTGTCCTGCGAACACGCAGGATGCAGAACAGTGTGTGGCACAGTGAGGGGCTATTCCTATAAACTTTCAAGTGTGCAAAATATATTTATATTAAAATCATCTTATATATTTATAGACACATTAATAACCAGTAAATGTATAGGAATATACAAGTGAATAAGAAATAACTAATTCAGAAGAGTTGTCATCACAAGAGAGAGAGGCAGGTCTGGCCGGTGAGGAGTGTCCCCATACGGGGCTGCCACATGGCCTGCATGGGAACAGTATTAACATGGTGATTATGGAGCTGCGGGGAGGGCCAGGGTAGGAAGTGCCAGATCACTGTATCATTTCCTGATATCAGCTATAGTGCCGTTCTGTCCTATATCATGAGTGTTTGATTGATGGGGTCAGTCCACTTTCATGGGTGTCGGGTTGAAACACAGCTGAAGTCAAGACGTGATCTTTAACTTGACTGGAATTCTGTTTCTGTGATCAGCACACTGTGGATGCCAAGCAGAGTCTAATGATAAGGAAGGGCGTGGATGGCCAGTATGTGCACAGGGGGGAGGATACCACAGAAAGGAGGCGAGGGGTTGGTAGGGCCGTTAGCCTGGACAAGGCCAGTTTGAATGAAGACAACAGAGCAGAGAAAGGGTTATGTTGAAGATATGGTTGGAGTTTCTGTGCAGTTACTTTTATTATGTTTTTGTCAGGAGAGGCCAATTTATTTCTTAATAAATGTAATAGATGTTTTATGAACATAGGAGAAAGTGTAGAAGAGACTTTGTCTATTTTTTTTTATCATTCTAACAAAATTAGTGGATGGCCCCAATAGAAGCATAGGCCTTAATGATACCTCAGAAAACATTTTCCAACCATCCTTGGATTGTTCTTGCACTACTCTTATTTACAATTCTGTGTCCCTAAAAAGAATCTCCAGATTTTAGAAACAGTTACCAACCAAAACACTGATTTCTCATCATCTTTCAGTGAAATCTTCTTGGGTGGCCTTCAGAAGGGAACAGAGTAGACACCAGAAGGTGAGTATTTCCCAAATCCTGTTGACAAGAAAATTTTCCTCATGGATAGAAATGCAGGTAAGAGTAGGAAAATGCAGAGAGTATCCTAGGAACTGCTGCCTTCCTTTCCTGGTCTTCTCAACGCATTGTCCACCATTATAATCTTTTTTAAAACATTTTATTTATTGATTTTTTTAGAGAGAGGGGAGAGGGAGAAAGTAAGGGAGACAAGCATGTGCAAGACACACCTGTATAGGTTGCCTCTCATACTCTCCCGAGTGGGACACCTGGTCCCCAGCCCAGGCATGTGCCCTGACTGGGAATGGAACTGGTGACCTTTCACTCAGCAGGCCAGCGCTCAATCCACTGAGTCACACCAGCCAGGGCTCATCATCATCTTAATAGTTAACAACTACAGCAACAATAGTAACTACCATTTGTTTCATTCTCATGTTTCAGACTTTAAGAATTCTATGTGAATAAACTCACTTAAACATTACAACAACCCGATGAGGTATGTACTATAACTCACCATTCATGATGAGGAAAGTCAGCTTTTAGAGATACAGAAATGTTTGACTATATGTCTATGATCACAGTATCAGTGGTAGTGCAATCTAATCCATAGTTGCTTCTCTAAATTACTTATGAACTCATTGAAACGTTCATAGTTTTACCCTAGCCAGCATGACTCACTTGGGTGTCATCCTGCAAAGCGAAAGAGCCCCAGTGTAATTCCTGGTCACTGGCTCATACCTGGCTTGTGGGACAGGTTCCCAGTTGGGGTACTTGGGAGAGGCAAGTGACCAATGTTTCTCACATCAATGTTTCTCTCCCTCTCTTTCTCCCTCCCTTTCTGTCTCCCAAGAAAACAAAATCTTTCTTAAAAATTAGAAAAATAAACTTTCATACTTTTCTAAAGTTTACATTGTCTTATCCATATCTCATTGCATCATTCATCTGACTGATGATTTCAACCAGAGTTCTTTGCTATGCTGAAATGAGAAATGCACTAAGACCCTCTAAGGAAAGCGTACAATGTGTAGGCAGTTTGTACAGTGGATGGTCCCAGATGAAGAAGAATGTAAAGTGTCCAGGATCACAGCCTCCCACTCTAATAAAGAGCATCTCCCACCCCTGAGGAGCTTCAAGTTTCATGATTGAGGAATAACAAATAATAAAATGACTTAAGGATTTCATATAGGTTACACACTGTTCAACAGAAACTCATCCGTCTGGAACTGATTTCAAATCCCCTTACAGGGTGAAGTAACAGCTTTGTCTGAGTTCTCATGAGGCCACTCTCATCCTGTTTAGAATCATTTGTTCAGCCTGCCTACTCTGTGTTGTGAGCTCTTTGAGGGCCTGGTCCATACCTGAGACTTCTCAGAGGTCACAGGCCCAGTTCAGGGCCCCTGAGGGCCTCCGAATGTTTGGTGAATGAATGATTTCACAACTACAAAATAAATTACAAACATGGTCAATGAGCGCTGAAGGTAATTTCTGTGGGATTGAAATATGGAGAGAGATGAGGGGAAATTGTTAACACATTCATGCTGTATTCATAATTCACAAATTGAATTTTTGACAACCAAAAAAAAAAAGGGGACAAAAACCCCAACCCCAAAGGGGAAACCACCCAAACAAAGGTATTGCAAATATTATTTTATCTATTGTCTAGATATGTTTTGGCCAACTATTCTCTTCCCAATGTCCTTCACTCTCAATTTTTTAGAGACAGTTGAAAGAAAAGCCATAAGGCATGGGTTCTAATCTTGGATTCAATACCCACATTGGCCCTATACCCTCTAATATTCACACTCCTGAGGTATTTCCAAGGGTTCAAGTATTAAAGACATGCATGTAAATTATATGATAGGCCTTAAAATATTAAATACATGTTATCTTTTAATATATGACTCTTATATTGAAGGCAACATCCGGGGTGCCATTAAGCAATAAATATAGCTTGAAGGAATTGTCAGGAACAGCAAATTTGATGACTGCAAGTGACTCAGAGCAGGCCCAGAAACCAGTGTTCCCGCCTGGAGAAACATGTGCCTTTGGAAAGCACACTAGACAAAAATCGGGTAAGAAAATAATTTGGGAACTTTAGTTCCTCTAAGTCCTACAGAAGGGCTAATAAGTATGACCTAGGTATGTGGGGCAGACTTTGGTAGGCCTGGATTTAAGCTGGGCTAAGCTGAGACTGAAGTTACCACTGGACCTTTGGGCAAATCCTAGAAATTCTCTGAGCCCCTGCAGGCTAATGTGTAAAGTGAAGATAAGGAAACATCATTCATATATTGTTTGAAAACATTAAATTGAGTTTAAAACTGGTGACACAGGCCAGCGGTCCAAAAAATCCATCTGTGATAATAGCAACCACACTACTGGTGTTGTGTGCCTAGGCCTTTACTCAATGCCTAACACATAATGTACACACAAACATTTTATGAATGATTAAAGGTTGGCAAGTTAAACCTGGTAATGGGAAGATCTAGAAACTAAAATTGAATCACTCATCTGTAATTAGTGTGGCATCTTAGTTTTCTGAACCAATAGTTAACAGTAACATACCGGAGGATGCAAAAGGACAGGTAATAAATTGATGGAAGGAGATTGTGTGTTAATCTGATAAAATGGGAACTAACATTATAGACCCCACCAACCTCACTCACCTGCTCTTCTCCAACTCAGAACTCAGGAGAAAGGAGATGGACGTGAAGATGTACAGCCTACAAGAAAGAAAGGACTGTGTGTACCAAGAGGTCACTGAGCCCCAGGATGATGACTACCTTTGTAAGTGACCCTCACTAAGAAGCAAGTTATGATACAATAATTTCATCTAGTCCTTTTCCCAATCCCTCCTCAGTGACCTGGAGTACAGGATTGAGTCTCAATGATGTTAGTTCTGGACTCCCTCTGAAGCTCTTCGTGTCCAGGAACATGTGTTATACCTTTCCTAACCCCTGTTGCTCTCGCCTCCAGATTGTGAGAAGTGTCAGAACTTCTTCATCAACAGCTGTGCTGTGCATGGGCCCCCTGCATTTGTAAAGGACAGTGCAGTGGACAAGGGGCATCCCCACCACTCAGCCCCCTGGGTTGAGAATCGGGCCATCCTGCATCCCTGAGGCTGGGCTTGGAGTGTGGAATGAGGCAGCTGATTTGCCAGTGGGTCTGCACTTTGGCCCTTATGCAGGACACATCACAGAAGATGAAGAGGCAGCCAAGAGCAGATACTCCTGGCTGGTGAGAACTATTTACCTCGTCCACTGTCCTCTGGCTTCCCACATTCCTTCTGAAGCTTGGAGGGACCTCACCTCCTACATGCTTGACATGGAGGGGACGATGTGGTTTGCTCTGTGTACTGACTGGACTTCACATGAACACAGAGCTCCTGTTTAAGGATCAGAAAGTAAGTGGGAGCAAAGTGGTGCAGACACAAAGGAGTGGCTTCTCCCTTGTGGGGCTCCTGCTCTGATTGGACAGGTAGACTCAGGTGTGTAGGTGATGAGTAAGAAAAATATCATGTGGTCACAGCTGGCAGTGGAATCCCCATGCAGGCTGAATGAGCTTTGATGACTGTGGAGTAAAATAATTCTGACTATTACCTTCCCACCAAAAAAAATAAAAGGTCTTTAACTTCTCTTCTGAAACACAGGTCGCCAAAGGGAGAAACTGCTATGAGTATGTGGATGGAAAGGACAGATCCTGGGCCAACTGGATGAGGTGAGGTCAACAGGTCTCTGGGTGTCAGAGGGGACACTCATCCCCCATGAGCCCCTATATCCATCCCTCTCATCATGCCTCCCTCACTGGTCTCCCTCAATTCTTTATTTCCTCTTTTTCTCCATACAGTGTTCTTTCATTTCAGGGGACTTTTAGGAAGAAAGTATAGCATATGTCCTCAAAATATAAAGCTCTCTACTAGACACAACTTTGGCTCTGGAAAGGTCCTTGAAGAGCCTAGATTCACCAGGGACACTGGATTACACTTTAATTTATCAAATGAACATTAATTAAGCACTTCGTATATTCCAGTTTAGGTGAAGGAATACATTACTTAAACAGATCACACAACCCGGATAGACAAAAAGACCTCCAAATTTCTATGGTAATCCTGAGCAGGCAAGTGAATGGTGCCCTAAATAAAGTGTAGGAGGGTTGGAGAAAGGCCTCTCAGGAGAAAACAGACGTGGGTTGAGTACTGGATAATTAGTGAGCTAATTCAGAAGCAGAGCCCTAGATCAAGCACCAGGTTCTGTGGTGTGAGACAACTTGATTTAGAGTTTGGAAAATCCAGTATCACTGGATATTATGGCCAATCATGGTGGAGGTTAAGTCTAGAACTGGGTGTTAGAAAGTAGTATTAGGCAGGATGAACACTGCAAGCAGGACTTGGATGTAAGAATTCACATGACATGCTGGCAGACGCTCAGACACTGAACGGAGATTCCCCAGAAGCATTAGGGGCAGTGGGCAACACCAGAGCCTGAGGGCCTTCAGAATCAGTAAGGAGCTGGACATGGATGTAACAGGTAGTGGGAACTCATCACTGTGCTTTTCTTTCCCTTCATCTGCCTCAATCCCAGGTTTGTGAACTGTGCCCGGGATGATGAAGAGCAGAACCTGGTGGCCTTTCAGTACCACAGGCAGATTTTCTACCGAACCTGCCGGGTCATCAGGCCGGGCCATGAGCTGCTGGTCTGGTGTGGGGACGAGTATGGCCAGGAGCTGGGCAGCAAGTGGGGCAGCAAGTGGAAGAGAGAGCTCATGGCCAGAAGAGGTGGGCACCACTGTTCTTCAAAACAGAAAGAAAAGAGAGAATTCTCCATAGAAACATTTATGATCCAACTCTTAAGTACAGTAAAATCCTAAAGTCAGTAAAGTTTCAAATCACATGCTTAGAATTCACAATTCATATGCCTTTGACTCTTAAGGCAAAATTTTTATAATTTTTATTTTTAAAATATTTCGTAGACAAAATACACAACCGTATGTAGTGCTGAAAGACTGGGAAGCAAAAAAGAAAAGTTTACAAGCACTAACAAGTTCTTTCACCAAGGCAGTTTTTCTGACACTTTTATAGCTGTTTCTTCTTAATTTTCCTCCATACTTCTAAATAAAACATTTTTGTTTGTAGGCATTCATTATTTTTTAAAGATTTTGTCCTGGCTGGTGTGGCTCGGAGGATGGAGCACTGGCCTGTGAACTAAAGGGTCACCAGTTTGATTCCCAGTTGGGGCACATGGCTGGGGTTTTAGCTACATCCCCAGTACGGGGCATCTGAGAAGCAACCACACATTGATGTTTCTCTCCCTCTCCCTCCCTTCCCCCTTTTCTGAAAATAAATAAATACATAAATAAAAATTTTTAAACAAGATTTTTTTATTTTTGCAGAGAGTGGAAAGGAGGGAGAAAGAAAAATCAATGTGCAAGGGAAACATTAACCGGTTGTCTATGGCACACCCCCAACTGGCCCACAACCCTGGCATGTGCCCTGACTGGAATTGAACTTGTAATCTTTCAGTTTTCAGACAACACCCAATCCACCAGGCCACACCATTAGGGCAGGGCACATTCGTTCATCATTTCAGTGAATTATCGTGAGAGATCCATCTGTGCAGCTGGGACCTGGTTATACAGGTTGATGTGAGGATCAGAATCACTGCTCTTGAGGAGCTGAGGGGTGAAGGAGGGAAACCCAGGCACACATGCTTGTGTGTGCATAACACCACACAGCAGTTAGTGCTTTGGAGAAAACTAATCTAGGACAAGTGCCTGGGGATCAGTGTGAGGGGAGGCGTGTGGCAGGTGGTCCGGGAAGGGCTCTCTCAGGAGACATTTACAAAAATACCTGTTTTCCAGAGGATCCCAGGCAGAGGGAGCAGCTAGTCCAGGGAAGAAAAGATGTGCGGCGTTGAATTGGCTGAGGGTCACTCAGGTCTCGTCTCCGCACAGAGGGTGAAAACAGATCAGACGGATGCTTAGCAGCCCAGAGATGCAGTGCCAATGACCTGAGTTGAGACACTGGGGACTTTCCTGAGTGAAACTGTGCAGTTGTCAGCTATAGAGTGGTGTGTTCTCTGTTGTGACTATGTTTTGTTAATTTTTAGAAAATAAACTCCAGTGGGGAATTCCCTCAATTTACTTCATCTCCAAGTAAGAGAGCATGGTGGATTGGCCAGAGAGGAACAGGAGTCAGGCGTGTAAGAAATGTGGTTGCAATATTTTGAAACAGGTCTTCTTAGTGTATTTGAAATAGTCTAACACTAAATGAGATAAAGCATAAATAAATATTTGGTGTGAGGCTTGAGGAAGGACATTACATTTTACTATTTTGGAAAACAGAGAAGCGATTCCTAGTTGGGGCCTGTGGTTTTCCTCTTTAACGTGACTTAGAAAATACCTACAGATGGGAAATGTCACTGCAGTTCGATCCACAAGGGGAGTGAAATGGCCTCTCATGCTCCAAAATTCCCTATCTCGGCAATATTAGAAAAGACCCTTGATGTGGGCTTTCTGGATTCTGAAGAAGATGCACTGCATAAAAATAAACAGGAAAATAGACGGTGAGTGGACACTGGGAGACAGAGGTTGCGTTGTCACCACAGTAAGAAGGACTCACGGGGCAGGTCCTACCAGACTAATCATAAAGCCCAGGCATTGTCATCAGCACCTGTCCTGACCAAACCTTTCTCTTTCAGCAGAACCAAAGCCAGAGGTGCACCCATGTCCCTCCTGCTCTCTGGCCTTCTCCAGTCAGAAATTCCTCAGCCGACATGTGAAACTCAGTCATCCCTCTCAGATTCTCCAGGAAACATCTTCAAGAAAACAGCTCCAAGCAGAGGAACCCTGTCCAGAGGATCAGAATCAGCAGCAGCAACATACTAGTACACACAGCTGGAATGATAAAACTGAAGGTCAAGAGGTCAAAGAAAGGTCCAAACCTTTGCTTAAAAGAATCAGTCAAAGGAGGATCTCAAAACCCTTTTTCCAACCGTCCAAAGAACAAATGAGCTCTAGTGAGCACGAGAGACTGATGGAAGAAGAGCCCCAGAGAGGCCAGAAAGAGAATCCAGAGGACACAGGCAAGTTCTTTGTGAAAGGAGGAATGTCAAAAATTGTAACAATCGAGCATGGAGGGTGTTGGCAAGGCATTAATGATGGATCACATCTCATCACACATCAGGTGACACAGTCTGCAGAGAAGCCCTATGTTTGCAGGGAGTGTGGCCGAGGCTTTACATGCAAGTCACATCTCATCACACACCAGTGGACACACTCTGGGGAGAAGCCCTATGTTTGCAGGGAGTGTGGGCGAGGCTTTACATGCAAGTCAGTTCTCATCACACACCAGAGGACACACTCTGGGGAGAAGCCCTATGTTTGCAGGGAGTGCGGGCGAGGCTTTACATGCAAGACAAATCTCATCACACACCAGAGGACACACTCTGGGGAGAAGCCCTATGTTTGCAGGGAGTGCGGGCGAGGCTTTACATGCAGCAGTCACATCTCATCACACACCAGAGGACACACTCTGGAGAGAAGCCCTATGTTTGCAGGGAGTGCGGGCGAGGCTTTACACGCAAGTCAGATCTCATCAGACACCAGAGGACACACTCTGGGGAGAAGCCCTATGTTTGCAGGGAGTGCGGGCGAGGCTTTACATGCAAGTCAAATCTCATCACACACCAGAGGACACACTCTGGAGAGAAGCCCCATGTTTGCAGGGAGTGTGACCGAGGCTTTACATGCAAGTCAGATCTCATCACACACCAGAGGACACACTCTGGGGAGAAGCCCTATGTTTGCAGGGAGTGTGAGCGAGGCTTTACATGCAAGACAAATCTCATCACACACCAGAGGACACACTCTGGGGAGAAGCCCTATGTTTGCAGGGAGTGTGCGCGAGGCTTTACAGCAAGTCACATCTCATCACACACCAGAGGACACACTCTGGGGAGAAGCCCTATGTTTGCAGGGAGTGCGAGCGAGGCTTTACATGCAAGTCAGTTCTCATCACACACCAGAGGACACACTCTGGGGAGAAGCCCTATGTTTGCGGGGAGTGTGAGCGAGGCTTTACACAGAAGACACATCTCATCACACACCAGAGGACACACTCTGGGGAGAAGCCCTATGTTTGCAGGGAGTGTGACCGAGGCTTTACATGCAAGTCAGATCTCATCAGACACCAGAGGACACACTCTGGGGAGAAGCCCTATGTTTGCAGGGAGTGCGGGCGAGGCTTTGCACGCAAGTCAGATCTCATCACACACCAGAGGACACACTCTGGGGAGAAGCCCTATGTTTGCAGGGAGTGTGCAGGCGAGGCTTTGCATGCAAGTCAGTTCTCATCACACACCAGAGGACACACTCTGGGGAGAAGCCCTATGTTTGCAGGGAGTGCGAGCGAGGCTTTACATGCAAGTCAGTTCTCATCACACACCAGAGGACACACTCTGGGGAGAAGCCCTATGTTTTCAGGTGGAGTGAGTAAGTCATTAGCATTAAGTCACATATCAATAGCCATAGGAAGTCCACAGCCCCTTACTCTCCCCAAGATTGTAATTAGTATAGAAGTAACTGGTTAAACAAACCCTCCAATTCCATTACAACAAATGAAATGGACAAACAGTTCCATAGTGATATGGGGATGTCAGCACCAAACTCGTTTGTGGTTTTTTGACCTATTCTAAAATGTTTTGTCTCCATACACATCTCTCATTTTCCCCATCACTGAAAAGAGGGTTCCTAAAGAGCCACAAAGAACTCATACTCTCAGCCACAGAAATTCAACTCCTGACAAATGTGTAAATGTGGAATCAGCCTACTTTCGTTACTCCCCAAAGAGGGATTTGAGACAGACTCACCCAGGGAGGGAATTCCCCAGACTCCTGGAAAGGGCCTTTTCTCCTAATCAGCTCCCTACCTCCTCCCTTGGCTTCTCTCGGCTCTTCTGGTTTCCTACAACGTCTGGAGCCTCAGAGATGAATGGCAAGGAGAGATGGATGCTTGTACATAGACGTGAGCTGCTCAGTCTGGGCACCTGGTCTTCCTTACTCTCCTTGCTCCCTTTTAAGGGTCAGCATTTCCTAGTGCACAGCATAGAGATTCCACATTAGTCTATCGTGGGTGTGAGTCTCAGTTATGTTTTCTCCAGCTGTGTGACCTGAGGCAAGATTCTCAACTCTCTGCTTCCTAGTCTGTACAATGGAAATGGGAACTCCAGCCTTTTGGTTTGACATTCAGAGTTGAGTCAGCATAGACAGAATCTGGCAAGAGGATCGCTGAGATCGCAAGCCCTACTGAACAGCCTTTGGTGCCCATGTCTTCCTGGTCTTTAGTGGTTGACAAAGGAAGATTAGGACAGGGGTGTTTAACCAAATTCAGAATTTCAGTAGGACCCCACTGCTGTCCCCACATAGACTGAGCTGCCCTAAGAAGGAAGCCAGTATGGTTGGGGAGGTGCCTCCCTCCTGATCACCACCCTCTCACTGAGCCTGGGCATCCTCAGAGCCTCCTGAACACAAGCAGGTGGTGCTGAGAGTGGCCTGTGAAACAAGACCCTCACCCACCCCTTGCTGAGAACTGACACTGGGAACAGCACCTGCCTGCACTGGGGTGTTAGGGTAGATGGTGAGCCAAGGCAGGGAGGAAGAGGAAGATGGGTGTCACCCACTGACTCAGCAGTCCTGCGCCTGGTCCAATCCCATTGCCAGATGTTCCAGCCTCACAGGAAACACCATGCTGACACGTTGAAATTCTAGGTATTGTTTCCACTATCTGGGAAAGAAAGGCTTTCAAACTGTATTCATCCCAAGGCCTAGAAGATGGAAGGGGGTCTACAGCACTGACGGAAAGGACCCATAAAACAAATCTGGTTACTTCCTTACCTCTGTCCACTGTCTTTTATGAGAGGGTCCCTAGTGGTTACATAAAGAATCCATTGGTAAGTTTGGGTAACTGCCTCAATTTAAATTGTCTCCTGTCATGGATCTATTTTACAAGATGACCAAGTGGGGTCAGAAGCAAGATAAGGATTCAGTCTAACGACCCCCACACATACCTACGTTTGGATAGTCCATCCCCTTGGAAGCTGGCACCACTTTTACCCACCAACTATATAACTCCCCAGGACAAAGGGCCTGCTGCTCTTGCCACCCAAGCCCTTCCCTTTTACCCCCACCTCAGCAAGACCTGTCCTCTTCCATGAGAATGTGTCACTAATAAACCCTGCTTGCTCGCTAATACACTTGATGTGTAATCCCTTACTGCGTTGGCAAGAACTGGGTTTTTCCTGTGACAGGTGCACCCAGTCTGCACATGGCATTCATGAAGCCCGCAGCACAGCAGCTTTTCTAATGCCCTCTCCTTGTACCTGGGCCCCACAGAGTTTAATGCACCACTGACACCATCTCAAAATTATTACTTATCATATCTTTGAACTTGTTTGTGAAGTCTGATGGGATAATAGACATGCACAATGTTGGTCATTTTTGACCACCCGTTCCCAGATAATGTCTGCAATGGCCCAGGAGCACAAAATTCTCGTGCACCCAATGGATGGGAGTCCAGCGAAACTCAGGGTGAGAACAGGGTAAACATCTACATCTGCATAAGCATAAGGAAGGGTGCTAACAGCTCCCAGAGGTCACACTTTGCTTACAACCAGAGCTGAGTTCAATACACAAGATATGTCAAACATTTAGTGAGGACCCCATCATACCCTCTCCTGCATGCGGGAGACCTACGCATGACCCACCCCATTCCTGCTGAGTGGGTTCACCAAAGTGGGACACCAACCCCCATGACCTGGAAGGGTATTCTCCATGCTGCAGGTCTAAAGTTCACCAGCTCTATTATCAATCCAGCATGTGCCTGAGTTGAGGGTTCAGTCCCCATTTGGGGGCATGTGAGATGCAACTAATAGATTTTTTTTTCTCTCTCTCCTTGTCCCATCCCCTGTCTAAAGTAAATAAAATCTTTTTCAAAAAGACACTTGAACAACAGGTAAGTAATAGCATGTTCTTGGAGAGAAAAATATACAATGGTCTTCATTTCCCACAGTTATCTATAAATATAATATGATCTAGCTGAAAATATCAGCAGAAAATTTTTTTGTTCCTCACCGGAGGACATGCTTATTGATTTCAGAGAGAAGGGAAGGGAAGGAGAGAAACATCGATGTGAAAGAGAAACATCAAAGGGTTGTCTCCCCACTGGGCACCAAACCTGCAACCTAGGCCTGTGCCATGACTAGAGCTTGAACGACAACCTTTCGGTTTATGGAATTGTGATGTTAGAAACTCAGTTCTCTTTGCTGATGCAGTAAAGAATTGCAGATCAGCCAGTTTATTAGTGAGCAAGCAGGGTTTACTAGTGATACGTTCTCATGGAAGAGGACGGGCCTTGCAGAGATGGGGGTGAGAGGTGTTGATTCTGAACATGGCAAGGTAAGGGTGGCAACAGTCAAGGGTAAGTGTGGCAAGACCCTCAGGTCCTTGGTCCTGAGGAATTAGGTAGTCGGCAGGATTGGGGTGAAGAAGTGACATAATAACTGGTGGGTAAAGGTAGTGCCAGCTTCCATAGGGGGAAGTGACTACCCAAATGCAGGTATGTGTGGGGGTCTGTTAGCTTCAATGCTTATCTCACCCCAGACCCCGTTTGTTCCTCTTGTAAAACAAATATGTGACAGGAGCCAGTTGAAGCTGGGGCAGTTACCCAAACTTATAAATTATTTATGGGCTTTCTGTAAACATTAGGTACTCCCTTGTGAAACAGATGGTGACCAGAAGTAGGCAAGTAACCAAAGTTGCCTTGTGGGCTTCTTTGGGCACTGTGGACACCCTCCCACCTACCAACCAGACCTTGGAATTAACACACAGTTTAATTCCAAGGCTTTCCTTCCCAGACAGTGGGAACAGTACATAGAATTCCCTCCTCGTGCACTACCATGTGTTTCTTGTGATATTCTGAACGCCTGGTACTGTTATCAAATCAGGCTGAGGGTGGCTGAGTCAGTGGGTGAGACACCCACTGAAAAGTGTTTCCCTTTTCCTTTCCTTAGTTTGCTATCTATCCTACCTTACAAGACAATGCTCCAGGAGACTGAGCCACATTGGCCAGGGCTCAGCAATTTTTTAAAAAGTAAAACAAGCTGTTTCAGTTTACCTTTTAAAATAAGGAAGAAGTAAAAGGTATTACGAAGCTACAGTAAGTACAACAGTGGATTAATGCCTCATGAATAGACAGATTGATGGAAAAGAATACAGGGCCCATTAATATATACAGATCCACATAGAAATTGTGTTTTGTTTACTATTTTAAATTTATTGACTTATTTTTCATTTGGAACATCTATCCTTTCCCTCTCATACACTCCCAACTGATGACCTGGCTCACAACCTGTCACAAGTGGGCACAGGTAACCAGGTTCTTGATGATAGCAAACAAAGAATTGAACAGAACACAGAGAGTTTATAGCAGACAGATGGAGAGCAGATTTATTAAGTGATAGTACACTCCACAGAACATGGGAGTGGGCTGACTTCAAACAGATTGATCTCAGGAGCTGGAGGGGTTCTATACTTACAGGGCAATAATTCTTGGCTAGTTTTGGCAGGGATTTATTGCCAAGGTACAAGTAGTTCT